TGATTTGTTCAAACAGCTGATTCATTCAGAAACAAAGCAAATCTACACAAATGAGTCACTGAATCATTGAATCACTGACTCACTCAGTTTGTACAAATGGCTAATTCTTCCAGAAACAAAGCAAGTGTCTCTTTATGAATGAGTCTCTGAATCACTGACTCACTTGATTTGTTCAAACAGCTGATTCATTCAGAAACAAATCAAGTCTACACAAATGAGTCACTGAATCATTGACTCACCCGATCTGTTCAAAACTATGGATTCATACAGTAATGAAACCCAACAAAGACAGTTCTGCTGTGGCTTTGATAGGAACTATTTTTGTTTGCGAAATTGAGCTGACAATATACTGTCTAAAAAGTAACAATATTAACCTTGTATATATAAACGTTCACAGTTTATATCTCGCATCTTTTTTTTTCCAGAATTGCAAGAAAATAATGGAATTGTGAGAAAAAGTCACAATTACCTTTTTTTATTTTATATTCTGTGGCAGAAACAAGCTTCAATAATATGTGACGCTGGAGCACAAAACAAGTCTTAAGTCGCTGGGGTATATTTGTAGCAATAGCCAATACATTGTATGGGTCAAAATTATCGATTTTTCTTTTATGCCAAAAATCATTAGGATATTAAGTAAAGATCATGTTCCATGAAGATATTTTGTAAGTTTCCTACCGTAAATATATCAAAACTTAATTTTTGATTAGTAATATGCATTGCTAAGAACTTCATTTGAACAACTTTAAAGATGATTTTCTCAATATTTAGATTTTTTTGCACCCTCAGATTCCAGATTTTCAAATAGTTGTACCTCTGCCAAATATTGTGCTATCCTAACAAACCATACATCAATGGAAAGATTATTTATTCAGCTTTCAGCTGATGTATAAATCTCAATTTCAAAAAATTTACCTGTGCTCCAGGGTCACATAATGCATAAAGCGCTATATGAATAAAGGTCACTTGACTTTTGATTAAACATCACAAGGTTTAAAAAGCAATTAAATTGTCAATAGCTCATCAGCTACTCTTGTTAAAAGTCACGCAACACCTGACACCAACAAATGAACGCACCTGCAGCTGTTTGATGGTGTCGCCTCCCTTCCCGATGACCAGGCCGACTTTACTGGCCGGGATCAGGATCTCTTGGATAGCGCTGTTCCCGTCCATCTGAGTGTGGAAGCCCGGTCCGTTCCGACACCGGTCCACGATCTGCCCCAAAAACCGCTTGGCCTGCCTGATGAACACGAAAGCTCATTCAGTGCATTCGTAAACTCTGACAGCATATAACTGAGAATCTGAAAGCTCAAGGGTTAAACATTCTTACTCAATGCTTTCTGGGGTCCCAGTCAGGGTGCAAGGCCTGTCCATCATGCCTCCACTGTCTGTGGGGGGGACACGACAAATAACTGCAAGCTAGGGATGTAACGATTCACTCAACTCACGATTCGATTCACGGTGTGTTTTTTTTACAAAATGAGATTTAAGAGAAATTATAAATTAAATGTGTCCTTTTATTATTGCTTGGACAAAATGCTGCAGATTTCTTTGTCAAATTGAAATATAACACTATAATAATAATATACTAATATAGCACTTGTAAATTATTGCTCTTTTGTTGGTTTTGATTGCTT